ATCACATGATGGCAAAGACAACCAAAGGTTGGACAAAGCTTTGGGGCATCAACGTCCCATCAAAACTGAAGAACTTCTTATGGAGGTTAGCCAGCACTCAATTCCCACGCATCTCTTCTTAACCACCGCAACATGTCCACTTCCAGTTCATGCTGCCTATGTGGAGCGGAAGACACTTGGAGTTGGAGGCATGCTCTTTTGAACTATTCAGTGTCAATGAGTACGTGGGCATTATCAACAGAGCCTATTGTTGATGGGCTAAGTTCAAATGTTGATGACAACGCCAAGACATGGCTCTTCTCTATGAACGAGTCACTGTTGCAGGAGGAATTCACCAGGTTTGTGGCTACTTTATGGGCTATGTGGGGAGCACGTCGCAAGGCTGTTTAGAGCATCTCCAACAGCCATCCAACGCGCGCCGTGCTAAAAAAGCATTTGCAGCGCGTCGATCGCCTATTTTTGCGCGGCGCGGAGTGCTGGCTCTAGCGGCCGCTGTAAACTGTACGCGCGGAGTAGCTCCAGCAGGCGCTACAAAAATACTGCGTGCGCGCTCTCGCACAAACAACATATGCACTCCAAACACAACCAAGAAGATCAAACACAAACAAAATAAATCAACAATAAATAGTTCAATTTCTTTATTACAACTCAAACAAATAGTTTATCTTTCAATACAACAAATAGTTCAACAATACAACATCAAACGCACAAATCATGATGCTCTTTGTCGGCCATTCCGTGCCCACCACTCCTCGATGAGATCCTTCTGAAGATCATCATGCGTTTTGGCACGTCAAATGGCATGATAGGAGGCAACAAAACGGGCCACCCTGGCAGCCCTCCGCCGCACTCGCACGGGGTGTCTCAAGAGCTCATAGTGAGAGTAGTCTATATCTTGGTCACGCTCATTCTCGATGATCATGTTGTGCATGATCACGGAAGCGTGCATGATGTACGAAAGCATCTTTTGATCCCCAAATATAGCCGGTCCTCTCACAATAGAAAATTGGGCTTGCAAAATTCCAAAAGCTCTCTCCACATCTTTTCTAGCCGCCGCCTGAGCATTGTGGAAATCAAGATTTTTCTTACCTTCCGGTTTTTTCAACGACTTCACATGTTTGCCACTTTGGGTAGATGTCATCTGCAAAATAGTAGCCATAGTTGTATGTACGGCCATTTGCTACAAATTGCACCGGTGGCAGTTCATCATTTGCAATCTTATTCATCAGTGATGACCGATTAACTTCGTTGATGTCATTCAAAGATCCAGGCATTCCAAAAAAAAACATGCCAAATCCAAGTCTCTTGATCGGACACCGCTTCAAGGATAATAGTGGAACCCTTTGTTGGCCATGGAATTGGCCATGCCATGTGTTAGGACAATTCTTTTAACTCCAATGCATGCAATCTATTGAGCCAAGCATACCTGGGAAGCCGCGAGCTTTGTTCATCTCCAATAGCCCTGCGGCATCTTCGGCATTGGGAGATCTCATATACTCCTGGCCAAACACTTGCACAATTCGGACTGCGAAGCGCTTGAGAACATGATGGCTTGACTCTCACCCATGGCCAAGTGATCATCAACTAGATCAGCGGGGATACCGTATGCCAACATACGGAAAGTGGTTGTCACCTTCTGAAAGGTGCTATGCCCGAGCTCTCCGGCGGCATTCCTCCTTTGCTGAAAAAACCGTTCATGACTAGCTAGTTCCTCTACAATGCGCCTGAACAAGTCGGTGCTCATCCTAAACCGGCGCTGGAAGTACGACCCGGGGTACACGGGAGGATCCGCAAAATAGTGCCTGATCAATCTGTTGTGGGCATTGAACCTATCCCTCCTAATTTTCTGCCGACCCATAACCGAACCACCGTGCTTTGGTTTTTATTCATGTGCATAGCTAGGATCATTGCAAGATCCTCCTCCTCTTCCATATCAAATTCTTCTTCGGAAGAATCATATGACGAACTGATCTACAATGTTCAATTTAAACTAGGCTATAAAACTACAAACAACATGCACCAAATTCATGTAAAAAAATGTGAAGTTGAAGCAATACATACCTTGCACGTGTTTTGTCGAACACCTTGCGGGCTGAGCGGTAGTGGGCGGCCGGGCGCTGTTCGTTGGAGGAATGCCGCGCGCGAGGGGTGGCGGCGAGTAGAGGGAGATGGAGGAAGCAGCGGCGGCGCGGGGATATGCCGAGGAAGCGCCGGAACGGTCGTCGGAACAAATGGGGTGGCGCGGGCGGTGGCGGCGCCATCGGCTGGATGGGGGTAGGTGGAAGTTGCGAGAGGGCGCTCGAATGTCCAGTGCGCTGGAGCAGGCACAACAAATAAAAGACGCGCGATGGCATTTTGGTCCGCCCGCTGAACTAGTTATGCCGCGCACGCGGTTTTTGCGCCTCCGCTGGAGCGTCCGGAGCGGTAGCGCGTGCAAAAACCAGTAATTTTTCAGTGCAGCGCTTATATAGCGCGTCTGTTGAAGATGCTCTCACGAGCACATTTACCAGAGTCCGTTCGCCGTACATGCTTGCCATACCTGGGGGAACTTAATGCAACCCGAGAGTCGCCAACCTAGCAGGCCAGCTGTCAATCTATGCGACCAACACATCCCCAATAGTTAACTCTTACTGATCGCGCCCTGTAGGGATCAACGAATCGATAGCAATAAGCCATGTTTAATGAGGTTCGTATACGGGACGCCTGGAATTTATACTTGGGGCAGGAGATTCAATTAAGCGAGATTCAAAAGCTATAATTTCGTCTTTCCCATCAATAGGTTTAGCCTACAACACGACCAAAGTATGCCTCTCTCACGGGTATCTGAGCAATTCTTCTTGTTGCTTTTACAAAACCTCCCTCCTGTATCTCAACCCATCGCCCATTAATACAATCCCAACATTTTTGAATTCCAAATTCAGAGCAATAACACTGGATAGCACCTCCATCAGGTTCAGCAAAGATAAACGTTGATGCCTCGGTTGGGAGAGGACGAAACTATGGAGCAGTGGGGGCCATCTGCCGAGATCAAGCAGGTCTTTTTCTTGGAGCTTCAGCTATTGTCTTGCAGAGAATATCCGATCCAACGACATTGGAATGTATTGCCATCAGAGAAGCATTAGCACTAGCGGATGACCTATATGAGAGAAATATACAAGTGTCTTCATATTGCAAAGTGGTGGTAGAAGACATCTGGGATAAGAGTGTGACAGCCTACAGAGCGATCATTCATGAAATCATAGATCATAAGTCTACCTTTCAGTCTTGTAATATTAGTCACGAATTTAGGAGCTCGAATGTGGAATCTCAGAAGCTCGCGAAGCATGCTTTATCCATACCGGTTGGCCGGCATGTCTGGCTCGGCCAGCCGAATGGACATCCTTTCGTCCGTCTAAACACTGTGACGAGATCTAATAAAAATCTTTGGAGTTTGCCTAAAAAACTAGACGTGTCCCGTAAATCTCAAAAGAAAAAGAAAAAACTAGACGCGTCCCATAAATCTCAAAAGAAAAAAGAAAAAACTAGACGCGTCCCATCACACTGAGGCCTGGCAAACTTTTATTCCGCATGTGTGGTACATACACGGACAAGGTTTTTTTTTTATGGAATTTGGGAAGTTTTATTGAACCATCATGTGGTTACAATCAGCCAGAAGGCTGCTTACAAGGAAGGCAAACTCTCAGTAGTATCCAGAGTGCAGGAACGCCTCGCACACTTATGAGCAGCAGAACTAGTAATCCTGGCTATACCTGACGCGCATATACATACAACCAGTTGCTTACTGAAGAGTGCAGTGTCTATCCAATTATGTATTGACGGTCTCTGCCAGCAAACAGATGACTCATGAGTCCTGACAAGCAACACAAACAGATTCATTCAGTTTGAATCTGACATCAGTGTGAAATTGAGCTACACTCGAAATATCTACTCCCTCCATCTCATAATGTAAGATGTTTTTTGACACTACACTAGAGTCGGAAAATATCTTACATTACAGGACGGAGGGAGTACATGACACCCGTTCCCCGCGAATGATAATTATAAGATAATAACAAGTACTATTTCTGTCCATAATTATAAGATGTTCTAACGTTTTTCTGATTCGGCTGAATATAGATGCATTTTGGTGTCCTTGTTCACTCATTTCATTCCGTATGTACTTGATATTGAGATATCCAAAATATCTTATAATTGTGAACGGAGGGAGTACATATGTAGTTTAGTTTCTGCGTACAGGGAAGAAGAAAAAGTTACAGATCGGGGGTATCATTGAAGAGTGCACAAATGAGTCGGAAAGAGTCTATGTTGGGCCATCTCCATGATTTGGTTGAGCTTGAACCCTCTGCCCCATGAATACACGACTTCTATCACATCGGGTCGGAAAGAGTGCACAAATGAGTCCACGACGAACTGGATCTGAGCAAGCACTCCAAATACTAATATCATTGAAGATTGAACAGAAGTGTCACTTCGTATATGCTTGCGTGGAGCAGTCAGGAACACAAAAAACACTGTCTAGGTAAAATTATGAAAATCTTCCAGTTTTTAAACATTCAACCACATCGTGCACGGATAAAGTGGTATCAAACATATTAGTGTGGGAGGAAGCAACATGTTGATATAAAAAGTGCCCGCTGCAATCAGGGATGTTTCTTTTTATTTCATTTTAATCGAGCACTCAACACAACGATGTCCCTATGCTTTTCTTAAATGCACTTTTTGAAAACTCCACAACTGCATGTAATTTAAAACCGATGCGATAACAATATAAATACACACACGTGGAGAGGAGAAACGGTCTCCACTTCTCCTTTGAGTACAAAGCCAACACGCGCAGGATACAGCCAAAACAATAAGCATGGCCCCAACACAACACAAATCGACAACGTCAATCCTGGGAACAAAAAATTGACTGAAACTTTGCAAGATTTCAAATGACCTCACATTATATGTCAGGTGAGGACGCCATGCAATGGGAGATACCCACGGCTGCGGTGGAGTCATTTGAGAGCGATCTGCATGGACGGCCTTTTCTGCTGATCCATGACGGTGCAATCCACTCCCAGCGTGAACACGGTAGCCATCTCCTTCATGCATCGTGCTTGATCTGGGATGCCCTTGTCCACTTCAATCTTAAACCCTTTCAGATGGTTTGCCATCAGTTCTTTGCGGTTGCGCGGTGCCCAGATTGGCAGTTGACCATCCACTCCAGGTCCAGTGGCCACCCGTCCAGTGATGAGTTCTAGCAACACCACACCGAAACTGTAAACATCTACCTTCTCCGTCAGTTGGCTTGGTGCAATACCATATTCTGCAAGTAATCGATTAATATAAGTACATTTTAGAAGAATAAGCCAGTTAAATTCCAATGTGTGGATCAGCAAGGACAGGTCCATGATTGCCGCACTACTAGATCCTTCAAGTTATCAGTTACAAACAACTGACTAGGGAGTAAGAAGTGTATTTTTTGTACTCATGACGAGACAATCAAATACCTCTTCTTCCAATGCAAGTTTGCTCGCTATACATGATTAGTCATCCAAATAGCGTTAAATTTGTATCCACCGACAAGTGTTGTCAATATTTTTGGTCACTGGTTGGACGGTATTTCAAATAAATTTAAAATGGTAATAAGCATGAGAGTATATGCCTTACTATGTTGCTTTGGCTATGTAGAAATGATCTGGTTTTTAGTGACAAAATGACTTCTCCTATGCTGGTTGTTTTCCATTGTACGCACTCACTTCGTATCTGATCTACGCTACAATGAGCAGGGTACCAACCGTTGGTCAAGACAGTGTGTACGTGGTCGGAGCAGGTGGCTACGGAGGTTCTTACATAACATGGATGGAAGCGTAATAACCGAATCGGTCCACCATCCCTCTCGACATAGGCTTAGTGTCGGTCTATAGGACTCTAATTATTACCGATATGTCGGCTTATCTTCTTTCTGTCAGACTTTCGGTGTTTGGCTGTGTGCATCTTAGTTATACAGAGGCCGGGTGTTACTCATCATGATCTGTATCCACTTGATGATATATTTTAAGATGATAAATGCGTCCCTTATAAAAAGATCGGTTATAAACAGCGACTAGTTAGAAAAATAAGCTAGTTAAGAAAGAATTATGTTGCATGCGTCGATCGCCAAACATACCTGGAGCTGCATAACCAAAGTTACCAGTAGGCAGGCCCATGATTGGCAATGGTTGGTCGAGCCCAGCCATGTTCATCTGCGCAGTGCCAAAACCAGCTATCATGGCCTTGAAATTCTGATCAAGCAAAATGTTGTTAGAGTTGATGTTATGGTGGACAATTGGCTTATTGCATCCGTTGTGCAAGTGGCAGAGCCCTTTGGCAATGCCAATGGTGATGGTCATTCTCTCCGGCCAGCTCAACAGCCGATCCTGCCCCTCCAGCCGGTGCAGCCACCGGTCAAGGTTGCCATTCACCGCGCACTTGTATACGAGCATGATCGCTTCATCCCTCACGATGACATCTAGGACACTGATGATGTTTTCGTGACAGATGCTGGCTAACAGCATCATCTCGTACTTGCAGCGGTTCGTGACATTTTCATCCACCTGTAGTGTTGGGTTCATGTTCTTGAACTTCTTGACGACTAGAGTAGTTGGGAGACCGATGCCAGCAATGCCCTGAGCATGGACTACATTCAGTTTGTCATTCCGTATCCTTCTGCTAGACCACATGTTTCTCACATTATTTTCGGTAAGGTTATCGACTATGACTTGTGCATTGTACTCAGTAGGCAGCGTTGCTGCAGGACAGTTCCTCTTCCAAAACCACATGCTCATTCTCAATAGTACTCCTTCTCAATGGTCGACTGTCCCAACCTGCAAACGCACATTATTTGTTACTCCCTTCGATCCATATTAATTGACGCTGCTCTAGTACAACTTAGAGTAGTGAGGGAGTACTGGTATTCAGTAGTACCCCTTATTTCTCCAAAGATGTAAGTACATATAATAACTATTGAGAGATAAAGAGAGATGTATGCTTATTCGCAAAATAGATGTATGTTCATAATTAGTTTAAGCTAAATGTTGACAGCAACTCTATAGCAGGAAGATGGGTGGGCCACAGCAGGCGCCTGGATGTTCACGTTGTAATACTAGTTAGCGTCAAAGAGGATTTGCATTTTGCTTCTTCCAAGTTTTACCGATGTGTTTCGGGCACTGGAGTTTGCTTTCTCTTGCTGCTGGACCTTTCTTTTCTGATGGGTCAGCAATAAGACTAATTTTTTTTAGGGTAAGCATCTACTTTATTTAAGCAAAGTCCGAGACTTCGTCCGCGATTACACTTAGAATACAATCTGGAGGCGACGACCGCCAGACCATACACGCTCCATCACCTACAGCTAGTCTAGCTAGAGTGTGAGCAGCCCTATTTGCTGATCTTCTTCTCCAAGTAACCTTGCAATCCTGCCAGCAACACATTAGCGACTTGATGTCCTCCACAATAGTGCCCACCTTCGAAAGGTTTCTCCTCGCGTCGTTGATCATGCACACGGCCTCTTTGCTATCCATCTCAACATGTAGCCTTTGAAAGCGAAGTTCCCGCCCAACCTGCAAAGCTTTCCGACATGCCATAAGCTCAGCCACTTCAGGTTTTGTCACTTGAGGAAAGAGATGAGCGAGGGCACCATGAAAGGCTCCTGCGTGGTCGCGAAAGACAACCCCTCCACCTCCATCACCCGAGCTCCTGCCCACCGCTCCATCCATGTTCGCCTTGGTCCACCCTTGCTCCGGCGGACACCACTTGTCCACAGGAGGCGCTGAGGAGGACCGAAGCTTCTTTGGCACCGCATTACTCCACTCGTCCATGAAGCGGGAGACCGAGGCAGCAACCTCAATCGCATCTTGGATCCGGACGCCATCCCTCGTAGCACTCCTAGCCAGCCAAAGAACATAAGCTCCCTGAAAAAACAACTCTTTCTGCTCCTCCTGCGCCTCACCTATCCAGGACCGAAGCCACCGTCCCAGTGCATGGTTTGATTCAATCTCCAGAGGTGGGACCAAAGCATGAATGCTCCTTTTCTTAGCTAGTTCTTGCCAGAAAACCTTCGAGTGCAGTCAGCCCCATAAGCGGTGGACCAGTGTCTCTTCCCTCCCACAAGCCGCGCAGAAAACGCCCAGCTTAATGCACCGACGATGCAACTGTGACCCAGTGGCCAGACCATTAGACAGGAGTCTCCATGCATGAATTTTAACCTTATTTGGGATATGGGTATTCCACAAAGCCAGCCAATTCCTGTGAGTGTGTACCGATGACGAACCTTCTGGTCGGCCAGCTTTCACACGCCGTAAACTCATAGCAAGGTGATAGGCAGAACGAACGTTGAACTCCCCAGATTTCGTAAATTCCAAGCTGGGAGATCATGAGCCCCATGCGCACCCACCGGAATTTTCTTAATATCCTCAGCATCATCAGCAGAAAACATTGCATCAACAGTTCCATGATCCCAGCCATCACCACCTTCCGAGAGCAGGTCCGCCACCCTAGTGATTCCATGCAGGAAGATTTGTCCTAGTGGGCGCATGGAACCCTTCCGAGGAATCCAGTTATCGTGGTGGATTAAGATATCAGCCCCATCTCCAACACGCCAAACCAGCCCCTCTTTCAGCAAGTCACGTCCAAAGAGCATACTCCGAAAGGTGTATGATCCATTCGAGGGGCACGTAGCCTGCATGATAGAGGAATCCTTATAGTACCGTGCCCGCAGAAGCCTGGCGAAGAGCGAGTCAGGCTCTTGCAGCAGCCACCATGCTTGCTTAGCTAACAAAGCTTGGTTGAAAGCCTCAAAATTCCTGAAGCCCATGCCACCAGCTCGTTTTGGAAGGCACATCTTATCCCATGCTACCCAATGAACCTTGTTCTCACCATGAGTTGACCCCCACCAGAAGTTAGAAGAGATCGTAGTCAGGTTCCGGCACATTTTCTTTGAGAGTTGAAAACAACCCATGGTGAAAGTTGGAGTAGCTTGCAGCCCAAACTTCGCAAGAACTTCTTTGGCCGCCTTCGAGAGCCCTTGTCCTTTCCATCCCAAGACCTTGCCCCGAGCACTCTCCCTCACAGGCTTGAAAGTACCATCTTTTGATCTTCCCACCATAGTTGGTAGGCCCAAATACTTCTCACTGAGTGCTTTAGATGTAATACCAATGATCCCCTTCAACATGGCCTTACTATTCTTAGCACATCCTTTACCAAAGAAGATAGATGACTTTTGCAAGTTGACCCATTGCCCAGAGGCTTGCTCATAGCACTGAAGGATATCTCTAAGAGTCTTCAAATTATCATGTGATCCCTCCAAGAAAACAATGTTGTCATCCGCAAATAATAGGTGAGTCACATGGGGGCCAGTGCTCCCAAATGACACTCCTTTAATCCCCCTCTCCTGTTGAGCTTTCTATAAGAGTACAGAAAAACCTTCAACACAAAAAAGAAAGAGGTAGGGGGACAAAGGGTCCCCCTGCCTAAGCCCTCTTGATGGCAAAAACAGATTAGAGAGACCCCCATTGAGCTTAACAGAAAATTTGGCGGTACGAACACACCTCATGATCATGTCAACCCAAACCTGGTCAAAACCAAACTTTTGCATAACTTGTTCCAAGAAGGTCCACTCCACTCGATCATAAGCTTTCATCATGTCTAACTTTACAGCACAAAGAGGTTTTTTCCTTTTTCGGTGTCTGACTGCATGTACACATTCATACGCCACTAAGACATTGTCCGTGATAAGCCTCCCCGGGACAAACGCGCTTTGCTCCTCAGAAATCATGACCGGTAGAATACCTTTAAGCCGATTCGCCAACACCTTCGCTGCAATCTTATAAAGCACGTTTAATAGGCTAATAGGATGAAATTGAATGTCAATAAAGAATATAGAGATGAGAACATCACATTGACTAACATCATTATATATTGTAAACACTAACTCCCTCTCATAAAACTTCTCATGAACAAGTAATGATCCATTCACATGTTAATGTTTGAACAATAAACTCTCTTGAAACCAAGCATACTATGTTCTTAGTCATCAAATAATCATAATTCCTCCTTATTTTTCAAAAAAGTCCATGTAAGAGTTCCCGAGGAAAGGAGTGGATAAGGGCTGCCGAGGCGGCTGATGCGGAGGCACGGGCGGCCGCAGAGGAGGAAGCCATCCGCGCCCGCATTGTGAAGGAACGTCAGTGGAGGAACACACACGCCCTCGCCCGAGAGCAGAAACGGGCAGTCCTGACTGGACTACCGCCGACGGAGGAGAAGGACAGCTCCTGTGAGTGATAACCCACAAGTGTAGGGGGTCGAATAGCTTTCGAGGGTAGAGTATTCAACCTAAATTTATTGATTCGACACAAGGGGAGCCAAAGAATATTCTCAAGTATTAGCAACTGAGTTGTCAATTCAGCCACACCTGGATAACTTAATATCTGTAGCAAAGTATTTAGTAGCAAAGTAATATGATAGTAGTGGTAACAATAACAAAAGAGTAATGAAAGCAAAAGTAATATTTTTGGTATTTTGTAGTGATTGTAACAGTAACAACGGGAAAGTAAATAAGCGTAAACCAGTATATGGAAAGCTCGTAGGCATTGGACCGATGATGGATAATTATGCTGGATGCGGATCATCATGTGACAGTCATAACATAGGGTGACATAGAACTAGCTCCAATTCATCAATGTAATGTAGGCATGTATTCCGAATATAGTCATACGTGCTTATGGAAAAGAACTTGCATGACATCTTTTGTCCTACCCTCCCGTGGTAGCGGGGTCCTAATAGAAACTAAGGGATATTAAGGCCTCCTATTAATAGAGAACCGGAACAAAGCATTAGCACATGGCGAATACATGAACTCCTCAAACTATGGTCATCACCAAGAAGTATCCCGATTATTGTCACTTCGGGGTTGTCAGATCATAACACATAATAGGTGACTGTAGACTTGCAAGATAGGATCAAGGACTCACATATATTCATGAAAACATAATAGGTTCAGATCTGAAATCATGGCACTCGGGCCCTAGTGACAAGCATTAAGCATAGCAAAGTCATAGCAACATCAATCTCAGAACATAGTGGATACTAGGGATCAAACCCTAACAAAACTAACTCGATTACATGATAAATCTCATCCAACCCATCACTGTCCAGCAAGCCTACGATGGAATTACTCACGCACGGCGGTGAGCATCATGAAATTGGTGATGGAGGATGGTTGATGATGACGACTGCGACGAATCCCCCTCTCCGGAGCCCCAAACGGACTCTAGATCAGCCCTCCCGAGAGGTTTTAGGGCTTGGCGATGGCTCCGTATCGTAAAACGTGATGATTTCTTCTCTCTGATTTTTTTCTCTCCGAAAGCCAATATATAGAGTTGGAGTTGGCGTCGAAAGGTGTCCAGGGGGACCACAAGGTAGGGGGCGTGCCCAGCAGGGGGAGGCGCGCCCCCACCCTCGTGGACAGGGTGTGGGCCCCTGGTCTTCATCTTTGACGAGGATTTTTTTATTATTTGTTCTAAGATATTCCGTGGAGTTTCAGGTCATTCCGAGAACTTTTGTTTTCTGCACATAAAACAACATCATGGCAATTCTGCTGAAAACAGCGTTAGTCCGGATTAGTTCCATTCAAATCATACAAGTTAGAGTCCAAAACAATGGAAAAAGTGTTTGGAAAATTAGATACAACGGAGACGTATCAACTCCCCTAAGCTTAAACCCTTGTTTGTCCTCAAGAAATTCAGTTGACAAACTGAAAGAGAAAAAGAAAAACTTTTACAAACTC